TACCCTTAATTCTGTGTTTCCTGTGCTTTTGCTTCATTTGCAATTTTAAGAGATTTTCTCTAAGAAATAGGTTTGTTCTATATTGTATACCAGTAAATTAGCTAGATTTTTTTACTATATAACTTTAACCCTTTAATTCTGGAGCACAAATGCAATTGCTTTACAATAAATTAATTGAGAAAGTTAGCATCCTTCAGTGTACAGGGAGAAAGATGGTGATAAAGATTACATATTTTTGTTTAACATGTTGTTATTAATATGCTGTCCTTCTGCATAGGATTTTTATTTTGATACTTGACTTCATCTGTGTATTTTAAGCAATTGTTTTCAGCTGACTTCTTTGTGCAACCAATGCCATTGACTGCAGTAGCTTTGAAAATAGTTTTTCTTCATTAATGGCTTCTGGTGAATTGTTGGGAGAACAAAGTGCTGTCCCTAGTGGCTCCTGAAACTTATGGAAGCATTCAGTGAAATAGCTATTATTTTTCACAAAAAAAAATAAATTAGAGTATTACTTTTAATAGCTTTACACAAGCATGAGCAACTTTAGCTACAGAGATGAATTGAATCTGAAGTTTCTTGAGCTGTTTTTCAGCCCTCAAAATATAGTTCATGTTTGTAGGTCTTCAGAATTGAGAGGCCCCTTCCATGTGCTTGTCCACCCAAGCACTGTGAAACAATAAATACACAAAGCCGGTTTTTCTGGGTTCTCCACACATGAAGGCACTAGGTAACAGGATCACTTTTCAAAAGACAGGTCCACCTGCATGAAGTCTTTGCAGTTATTCAAAAGTCAGTGTTGTGTGCTGTTTCAGAGCATTCATGGGACCTCAGTTTGTTGGGATGGGAGGCAGAAGAGAAAAGGGTGTTTTTCCACCATCCCATGTGGTGGAACACTTGGGATGGTGGGAGAACACCCTCTTAGGTGCAGCCTTCTTTGATGTTGGGTGTTTCACCCAACACCAAAAAGAGGGTGTTTGCTGCCTCACTGGTGGCCCTAGGCAGGACTCAGTGCTCTCAAAAGTCCTTCAGAGCAGCTTGGTTTATAAGCCTGAAACTCATTTCAAGAAGCACGGTACCAATAAGTATCGTTAGAAGCCCTCTCTTTAGTACCTTCAAGTGTTGTGAATTGATCAGTGTGCAGATGGGAGATGGGTTTTCTTTCACTTATGATTGACAGTTTTTCCTGTGGGATTTTCCCACATGTTTCCCATAGCTCTTAAATGGCAAGTCACTTGTGTATGAAAATGTCCCAAAGTATGTCTATGTGATTTCCATAAACCTGGACAGGAAGGCAGCCTGTAGGAAAAAGGCACATTGTGAGGCAGAGTGAGGGCTTTGAAGTAAAATCACATTTTTTTATTGGTTGTAGAAAGCACAATTCCTTATCACTGTCATGTGATGCCATATCAGATTTGACTGGGTTTTTCAGCCAGTTGCACAATGAACAGTGGGATATGGTCTAATGTTTTCCATATGTTTGGAATAATGCAGATGAGCATCGATATAGCAAACTGAAAATTGAAAAAAAGAGATGAAATAGCTGGAACCAATATATCAAGGGTGCTTCATTTTACTTTTAATTTGGCACCATGCCATTATTATCATGTAAATTTCTTCCTCATTACTACAGAATAACAAAATGTCTTTGACCATCATTTTCCCCTCTTGAGGTTCTTGTCATTATCTGTAATTTCCACTAAGTTTCCCTGTTAATAGTGCTTGCCTGTCTGTACACTGACCTTGCTGGTTGGTGCAGACTTCCAGAAAACAGAATATCTCATGTGAATATTTTGTACATGCCTGTTCCATGGTTTTTTTCTTAATTAATGCGGCTAAGACATGTTTTAGCAGACACTGAAGAATCATATTTAGATTTGTTAAGCTGCTCTTCCTTTGCAATTATTTTACTTTGTGTTATGCAGAGTGCTCATATTTGGCAATATATTTCAGTGCTTGGGGTTTACTTTAAGAATTATCAAAGTTCTGAAATGTATATATTATTGTAAACATAGCATATTTCTAGTATGGGTTATTAAGTTATGAAATAAAACATGCATGCACAGACCAGAGCTCTCCTCTATTAATGTATTTAATAAAGTATGGTAGGAAAAAGAGGTTATTATGAAAGTTTTGGGTGGTTTGGTGTTTGGGGTTTGGGTTTGGATTTTGTTGGCAGTGTCCTCCCCCTTCCTGCTCTCCTCTTTCATTCCTCCGTGTCATCAGTCACTGAAGCATATCAAATGCTAATTTCTACTTTTCCATCTAAACCTGTCCAGAGTATTCAATCATTTTCTCTTGTGCCACCTTTATAAGGGAAGTATTCACGTCTACTTGTTCCCTTCTGGCAGATGTCTTCCATTTTCCTTGTCATATGTCAGGAGTGGTTGTGATAGGATTGATTTTTCTCTGTTAAGAATTCAATTTTTTTTCAATTATTCTTTCATCCTTCCTGAGCTTCTTTGCTTATAAAGGCTGGACATAGATGTGTGGTATCAGCTCCAAGAAACTACCGATAGCCCATCTTTATGATCACAGTATTTGCATTAAGAGCATCCTTTGAACATGAGAGGGGTTATAGATGGGGAGCTGGGACCTCCTGTGTGATCACAGCTGCTGTGACACATGGAGTGCTGATATTGGATGTTTTAATCCATCACAGGTTTAGAAGTGGCAACCCTGTGCTTCCACTTCCCTGGCAGAGGCGATGGTTTCCTTCTGCAGGTGCTGTTGTTTGGCTGTGCTCTGAGCTGGACTTGTGCTGAAGTGAGTGGTGTTTGAGAAGAGGTTGGTTTGTGCAGTTGAGAGAGTAGCCGAGCCTTGCACAGACACTGCTCAGAGGAGAGTGCCGAACTGGTGGGGACAGGAAAGATCTCAGCGGTGGAAATGATTGTCAGCCACCAAGCGAATCCTTGTGTGGACTTGAGTCCTTGTCCAGAATTCCTAAGGACTTCTTCCTCTGTAAAGAACCATGGAGAAAGTTTTAGTCCTAAGCATCAGTGCTGTTTTTATGTTAGTGTCTCAGGAAGTACTTAAAGGTTGGTAAAGATTGTGGCAGTGCTTCTTCTAAAAATAAGACCTGAGCTTTCAATGCATACTGGTTTACTTATTCTGCTTGGTTTGGAAAAGCATTTAGTAATTAGGTTACAACAATTACATTGGGTATTATGAGCACAGGATAGATTTCAAACACACTTTCTTCCCTTCAACATTACAAAATATTATTCTTGCATTAGCATCTTGGAGTCTGTTGAGCAGAGATTTTGGATAAGTTGAAAACAAAAGCTCAGCTGAGGTAGAACAAGAAGCCTTGGTGTCTTGGGACAGAGAATGTGCAATGTGCTTACAGCTGGTGTCTTGGTGTCCGTGGTCTTTTCAATACAGGTTTAGAAAATTTCATTGGAAGTGCAGAGTCACATGATTCCATAGTTATCTTTTTCTAATATAAATATTAGAAAAGTACAGAACAACAAAATACAAAAAAAATATTTGAAAATCAGTGACAATGTGTCCAGGATGGGCATGGAGTATTGCAAGGAACTGCTTGTCCAATTTTGTTGTGTCACCTGAATATGAACTCTGGTATAGAACCCCTCAGAAAAGGACAATCACGTTTTTAACATTTAGCAGAAGACACTTTCATCTGTTCGACGATGTCATCTGCCTCCCCACTTGGGGATTCCTGACTTCAGGAAATACTCAACACCTTATAAAACCAGTTATGGCCTTAGGGTAGAAAGGACTGTCGTTGTTTGTTGTTTCCATTGTGGCTTTGAGGACCATCTCAGGCTGAAGGAGTTTCCCTTTGTGGCAGCGGGCTCTGTGAGGTCGGTGGAAACACAGAGTGCCATGGGTTGCCCAAATGTGAGCCTGTAGAAAGCTGGGCAGCTCCTGCTGTGAGCAGGTGATGTGAGTCTCTTCAAAACCCATCCCCCCTTGGCTTTCCAAACCTCTTCTGGTTTCATTACTTCAAACATGCTGCAGGGCACAGCTCTAAGTTTGAACTAGTTAAAGCTGAAATAAAATCTGAAATAAATCTTAAACGATGTTCATACAGACTCTTCCTTTCTTATCTCCATCAGTATTTGTTTAGCCTTTATACTTGAGCTTATTCTACCTTTTGAGTTGTAGTTTATGTGAAGATTTTTTTCTCCTAGTTGAACTCCATAACTGCTGCTGAATTAGGGCTTTACTCTAGTTAATATGTTCATGCATACACTACTTCCTTTATTTTTTCTATCCTTTTTCTCAAACTTTTTGCTATAATTACAGTAAATGATTTCTTGGACTGCATGTTGAGAGGGCAGAATTGCTGTGCCAGCAGCCTTGTTTTGCTGGCTCCTGAGGGTAATAAGATCTATGCACTCTACTAATTTTCTTGCATACTTAGCTGCAATTGCAACCTTTAGTAATTATTTTTTAATTAACTTCAAAATATTGCATGAATAATGCAAAATTTTTAAAAATGGAAAATTAAAAAAGCTCAAAAGTAGGTGTTTTTTATATTTCAAATCAATAAACATTATTTTTTGGATTTTTTTTATGTAAGACATTAGCAGCATGGTGATATTAAATGACCTGCACAGTTGTAGAAGTATCAAGGGTATGTTGTTAAAGAGAGTTGGGCATTTAGATGAAGGTCAAATTTGTTTTCATAATTTGTAGTGAGAATTTCTTAGAGCCTTCAATAAGATCCTTTTCTAATACTGAAACTTTCATTCTACTTTACATTTTCTAGATGTTTGCTTTTCAATTAGCAGAAGTTGGCTAAACATTATGTTTTTGCAAAACTCATAGACTAATTCTGTCAGACGAAAGAAATGGATATATTTAGATACCAACTAATCAGTTGGTCTGGGCTGTGGGTGTAAAGCTGGGCATTAAATGTTTATGACCGTGAGTGAAGGCAAACATAAAAAGTGCCTTTTAATATGTCCCAATAAAAGTGGCTTTCATCAAAAATAAAATTTAAAAAAAAAAATTAAAAATTTGTTTTGTAGTGGATGGCTGCATCCACCGAGCTGCCGGGCCCTGTTTAGTGGCTGAGTGTCGCAACCTGAGCGGCTGTGAGACTGGACAGGCCAAAATCACCTGTGGATACGACCTGCCTGCAAAATGTAAGTCAAGCCTTTCTCAGCGTTTTTGTTTCCAGCATGTGTTGCTGGTGTGCATGGTTCATTTCCCTGTAGTCTAATTCAACAGGGTATTCATTTTACAAAATTAGCAGTGGGACTTAATTAAGCATGTTCTGTAGTAATGTCTTCCCCTCAAAGCAATTCAGGCTTTTCTAAACGATTGTTTCACCTATGTTATCCGATGAAAACTTACATGTCTCTAATATACAAAGCATCTTTCATGTTTTATTTTTGCAAGCTAAAACCTATCCTTTCATATGCATAATAAAGGATTGGAAATGCTTTATGAAATATGAACAAAATATACATTATCATATTTAAGTTCTGCAGAGACAGTTTTTGGAAATGTTGCATATTTGATGTTCTTCATGCAGATTCCTTGATTGTGAATACTTTGAGGGCCCAGGAGATCAAAGTGATGTATTGTGTTTTCAGCTGCTACGTAGTGTCTGATTGGCAATTACTGTAAAGGCATCTGTCACACTTTAGCTTTCGACAGAGGGAGTTTAGCTCAGTGCTGGAATGTTTTTGCACTTTGAAAGTGGAATTGTCAAAAACATTCCTCCTATTTCAAGCAGGAAGATTGTTATTTGACTGTCTTGTGTAGATGTTGAGCTTGTTTTGGAAAACACTAACAAGCTGCCAGCACAATGGTCAGCCAGTCTATTATGTGAGAATATAAAGTAGGAAATTTTAGTAAATCAGGATCTTACAGAATAGTGTATTAAAACATGAAGATACAAATACTGAGAAAGAATTGCAAACCCCATATAACTAGAATTCAAGTTCGCTTTTTTCCCTCTTTTTTTTGGGATATGCAGGCTGCAGCAGGAGCATTAAAAAATATTTAGATCTCTCTTAAATCAAATGCTGGCTGCAGTAGTAGGTATCTCTCTAGGCTCCTGTAGCCCTCAATGTCTTAGGTAGATATGAAAATTGTTTTTCCAGTCATTTTCTTTCTCTATGATGACAATGGGAGCTAACAATGATTTCCTTGAGAGGTAATTTCTATGTGTGAGAAAACTTTGCTATTTTATATTATTATTATTATTATTATTATTATTATTATTATTATTATTATTATTATTATTATTATTTGTATTTTACCAAGTTTGACCACATGGTAATGGTCATTTATGAAAGGCTAGTTTGACTAGAGGTAAGGGAAATTGTTGAGGAAGATTCAATGTGGTAGTTAGGCTGCATTTGTACATGGCACAAAAATTCACTGGAGTCCCATGAAAGGGATAGGGTTGTTGGGTGACATATCATCATTTACTCTGCTGGGGATGTTTGATGTTTACTTCTTCCCCTTTAACAACAAAGTATCTCTGGAGGGATACAGAAAAGCAGAAAAGTTGCTCATCAGTAGGTGCATAATTCCTCCCATGTATTTTTATTTCTAGTGATAGAAATTAAATACTAAGTATCAAGGCAACTGATGTGTGTTAGAAAGTGTTTGAGGTGTGTCCTCCCTTTGAATCTCACAGCAGTTTAAGGGGTTGCTTAAGTTAGGTTGAAAAATGGGATCCTGTTTGAAGGCTATAGGAAAATCTTAGTTCTTCATGTAGGAATAATAACCAAAACAATGAGAAAGCCCATTTTCACTTGAAGTTGGGAATAAAACCTATAACCAGGCATGGGTAAAAGCCAATATTCTTCTTAATCAGTATTCTTAGAAATGGAAATTGCATCAAAGCCACGTCTATTTGTATTTGATTGTGCATCAACATGAGAGGGGGAAAAGTTATCTTTAACAGCAACAGGCACAGGGAGGGAAACATACAATTTACATGCAGAGGCTGAGAATTAAAAACATTTCTTAGCTTTTTTCCTTAAAATGTATTTGTGTTCTTACCAACTGTTGTTTTCTTTTACTTATGCCTTTAAAAGCTTTAGTTTGTAGGCTCATTAAATTGTTGTACCTTTTAAACCATTCATCTGAAAGTGATCAAGCAGTCAAGACTGGTTTCATATTTTAGAGACCTATAAAGCTACTGGATATCTTTTGTCACTCTGTCACTTTGTCTTAATAGTGTGACAGTTTAACTGTGGGAACTATTTTGCATTTGACTTGTGTGAGGAAAGCAGCACTGTGACAGGAGGTCCAGACTCTCCCATCCAGATCCTCTGTGAGGCAAGGTTGTGTGCCAGCAATTTGCTGAAGGTTATGGTTGACTGCTAATTTCCAACTTTCACTAGCAGTTAGCTTTTTATTGATCTGTTTGTGTATAGAAGACCAACTACAATAATCAATTAACACTTTTTTTGAGTAGCTAACTATTTATTCTGTTGTCTCTGTTCTTCTTATGACTGTAGTTGGACAAACAGTTGTAGGAAATGTAAAATGCATTCCTTAGCATGATGAGTTCTTGGGTTTGAGTGGGTTTTTTTTGGTTATTTAAGAGAATTCTAAAATATTACAATTTTATTTCCTACCCCTGGGATTTTCCCGTTTCAAGTTCTCGATCATGAAATACTTTGCTTGGAAACAGTTTGCTGAATTCAGCAAAGCTGCTCTGGGACGCAGCAGCCTGTGTGTGCTGTATGATGCAGGACTTGGGCTTCAGCAAGGACTCCATTTTAGAAAGGTTTAGCACTCAAAGATCATGCAGCATATTGCTTTATGTTATAAAGGACTTGGAGGAAGCTGGGATTAAGTTTTGCACTGAAGGGAAGGTATGCTTTGTTAGGAAGGTAGTAGTTGGTAAATAAAAAAACACTGTGGCCATCTCCTTTATGATCTATTGTATTTTTATTGAGTACTTTGCTGTATTTACTTAGGTTAAATAAGAACAGGTCTGACAAATAACTTCTTCACAGTGGAAAAATTGGAAAACAATATCTGACTGAAAAATGTAAAGATTTAGGGTATAGGCTGGCTTTCTGTGATTTGTTCTTAGTGTTTCTGAGTCAGAAATCAGTTTGTGAAATACACAAGTAACAGCAAATGTTCAGGGAGAGAATACACAAAGTAGTTCATAATTTTTCTTAGCTCTTTATTGTAATAATGTGAACAGACCAAGATTAACATGTCTGTGGTCTGGAGATGTTTCTTTATGAACTTTTCAAGATAGACATGCTTTTATGCCAAAAAGTATTCTGTTTGAAAATAGAAGGGAAGTCAAATTGAGTTTTCTAATTACCAGTTAATGTAACATTCAGTACAGTTTTTTACAGAAATCAGTGTAATCACCATCTGCCTCCTATGCTACAAAAGCCTACACAAAGTCCCCCCAAATGCCAACCAAGTTATTTGCTGAATACAAAATTTGGTTGATGTCATCTATTGTTGTTTTTAAGCAAACACCTATGCAGGCACCCAGGTTTGCATAGTGCTCTGGGGGGCTGAAAAAGGCAGTGCCTTTTGCTCTGAGATAGTTTCCTTTAATGCTGTCCAGACCAATCATCAATTATTTAACTTTGGTACTTCATATTGTTGTTCCTTTTAAAGAACAGTTCATTCTAAATATTGTACAGCTGATCTTCAAACATTGAGCAGTACTCTGATACTGACATGCTTTAAATAACAGATGAACAGTATCTGTTTAAAGCTCTACAAATGCTTGTTTTCTTTCTCATTTGATTAATAGTCTCAGTTGGCTCTACTGGCAGAAAATGGTCTGGATGTAAATTGTGTTTATGGCTGGAATGAGGGGTCCATAACAGCTTTGTGGATTCTTATCTGCTTGCAGAGGTTCACTATAAAAAAGACGCTGTCAGTAAATGTTAGAAAATAGAGTCCCATCCTGCCTTGTATTTAACAGGCCTAAAAACAATTGAAAACCAGCACAGGTATGTGGTACCCTGACCTAGGCAGGAAAGGACCCCCAAACTAACTTCTTTTTTCTATTGTTGCCAAGCCTAGTAGCAATTTCTTTCTTTTTCTGAAAAATGTCTGACAATGAAACTCCTAAACCTAGGAAAATAAAATCTTACAGCCTCTAATATGGGATAGAACCAACTGTCAGTAAATCTGAAAGGTGGACTTCTGGTGGAGACACCTTGCTAGACAGTTTCTAATACAATGGTTTATGTTCATAATAAATCTATAACATTTAGAATATTTTTTTTTCTGTTTGCTTGACATTTTTAGTACTTTAAGCACTGTCCCTGAGTAAATAGCATATATAGCAAGTCTTCTGCTCCAGGATCAGCCTGGAGTAATAATGTGAATGTGCTCTCAGAGACAGTTCCTGCTGTGAAATAAGTAGTTAGGAGAAGTGCTAGTATTAAACACAGTAGGTGGAATCAGCTTTTAAATTTGTTTAATCAGATTAAAAAGTGGAGATTAAAAAGCAGAGATTAAAAAGTGTGCTTCTGTTATGTAGACATAATTTCCAGTCTTTAAAATATGAATATTTGCAGGGTATTATTTTAAAGTAAGGCTATAAAGATACTGATTTTTAAACCTCTTCTAATTTTCTGGGAGATCAGTTGTAGAGCTGTAATTAAAGGGTTGATTTATGCAGAAATGGAACTCCAGAACTCTACTGCACTACAAGATTGACCAGTTGGAAGAACGGGGCAGAATGCTCAAGAATATTTTTCAGATTTCCAGGATTCCACAAAGAAATTTATGTACTTGTTTTTATGACCTTGTTTATAAAATAATACATAAGTTTTGTTTCAAATGATTCTAAAGTTCTGATATGTGAGGGTTGAAGAGTTGCTTTCCTCTGCATGGTTCTGATGGAGGTTCAGTTTGCTACCTCCATATTTATTCTGGTAAAAGGTAAGTCTGGGAATTGAAAAATATGTCTGGAAATTGGAAAGGAAGGTGTAAAAGTGAACAGTATATGGACAAGACAAGATTGCTTAGAGAAGACTGACATGGCTACTAACTCTCAATTGGTCAAGATCCTTGATTTTCTCCCACAATTGATACATAATTGACTGAAGCTTGGTGAAATTTCTGTTAAAAAGGTACAGCCTAAGGTGACACAGTCACTGATAGCATATAAACTCATAAAGATTAGGAT